GGGCATCTACTCTGATGACCAACATCCAGGCTATTGCAGTCCCTTCTGCAACCAGATATCATAGGTAAAGATTAACTCACACAAACAAATGTCAGAATAGACTAAATTGTCACTGCAATTAATGAAGATCATCATTTGATATCTTACCTTAAGTTTGGTTTTCCCGGACGCTGCCCGTCGTGGACTTCGGGTCGTGGACTTCGGGTCGTGGACTTCGGGTCGTGGCTGAACCTGTCTCTGCAGTCCTGCCTTGGGTCATGCTGCTTCCCTGATGGCTTCCTCATATATTCTGAACAATCTGTGCTGTTTTCCTATCCACATGTAAAAGGAACTAGAAGGATTTCTTGATACTAAGGGCTGTAGAGAAAAGTTTGGAGCTTTTTCCATTAACGTTGAAGTTCAAATTCTCAATAAACACTTGAATGCTGTGCTGTCTTTCTATTTACTTGAATGTGTGAATTCATTCAGTTGGGTAGGTAAGCTTGGGATGGATATATTAAATATATACATACAAAAAATTAGAGACTCTTTCCAATGAAAGTAGCTAGCCGCAATAGCTCCAAGATTGCTATATCTAGTTTGTAGGTCGCCAAGTTGGCATCATTGACAGTTCGTCTCTTAAAGCCTCTAAAGCTCTGCAACAAAAAAGGATCATTATGAATGTAAATACTATACATGGTAATGCAGCAGGGCATAGTGCGATGAGGCAGGCAGGCAGAACCAGATTTATTTCTAAATATTTGTCGATCAATATTAGGCTACACTAATATAAGGCTACTAGTATTATGATATTACTGCAATAATATTCCAGTGGTGGCTGCTTAAGGTTGTTTCTGGCTCGTTTGATCCAAACATTGTCCAAAGCTCAAAATGTATTGTAATAGATGTAAGAATTCTCAAAATGTACAATATGTTTTGATCCAACACAATATTCTGATTCAATCCATATATGTTAGGGGTTTTTTTTTCACCAAAATAAATAGACTGCCTTCTCTCCAGCTCACCGCACACAAAGGGGGGGGGGGGGGGGGCATCTGTATTAACGGGTCAGTCTATAAGCACTCTAATAGCACCATAAATTACATTTAAATAACCACAAAAAGACAATTATTGTTTCCGATATTGATTTAACGAGATGCTGTTATAACATGGAAACGGCTTAATTTAAAAAAATAAGCTTCAAAAATGTTTTATGAAGCACACTGGGTACAGCCCTGTAATACATGTGTTCCGTGTGTATATAGTCTTACGCAAGAAACACATAGCATGAACAGACTGCAACAAAACCAGTCTTACAAAACAGACTTCTGCTAAACTGGTGCAGAAGCAAAGCATCTGCCTTAGATGAAGTTCACACAGAACTGTGGAAAAGGGAGAACATCTGTACTTGCTTTCAACGACATGATCAGGCTTATATATTATAAAAGTGTTGGCTAAAGTAACGCAGAATATATATATTTTTTAATTGTAAATAATTAAGTACACACACATAACAAGCTGTACCGAGTTCCTCCGGCTGCAGTTCCGCAGACGGCCGGTGTGTGGCAGCAGAGCGCTGGGAGCAGAGGGAGGTGAGTATATGACGGATATGACGGATGACGGATGCGACGGAAATACACCCGAACATATCTGGTAGGCCGAACATATCTGGTACTGACACCCGCGCTCCAGCCAGTTAACTGTACGTTACGTGAGGCAGAGCTCGTCCCTGCCTCACTTCTCATCGCTACCCGTAGTTGTAGCGGAGCTCGGCAAATTTGCTGATTTTGACTATAAAAAGCGATTGGAATCAAACAGAAATCACACTTACAACACAGATCAGTGGAGACATTTTATTATTATTACTAATTCGTTTTTCTTTAGTTGTTTTTCCGTTACATTGGAGTATGACAGGTGAGGCTCTGCCTCCCCTGCCTCCCCTGACTGCACGTCGCTGCTATTATCCCCACGGCCCATTATTCCCATTCCCAATAGAGTATCAAAAAGTCCCATTGGACCAAAAGCCAATTTGTCTGACAGCCCATAATCGCAAAAATAAATTCCCATTGCTCTGTAGGCCCGCTTCCTGCAACAACAAGGAGCACATGGCTGAGTATTATGATTGTTTTACCCTCAAATTCTTGCCCTATATAACCTCAACCAATCACACTTCTAACGTCTCAACCTAAACAACCCAACAAAGGCAAGGCTCTGTCATTCTGCAAAAGAAAAATTATATTTTTTATATAGACTTTTGCTCCTATGGGATTTTCTAGGCACTATTGATATATTGGAATAATGGGCCATTTGAACAATGGGCCTTCCCCAGGTTCACCTCATTTATCAATGATAACTCTATTGAGACCAGAGGACAGAGCAAAATCTGTTATTTTTCTCATAGGGTTTAACTTTAAATGTGGAAAGGTCAAATCAGCACAATAACACACAAACATGACAAACAGTTTGACCCCAGTGTACCAGCTGCCTCGAGGGCATGCCACCAATAACCACCTATCCTTAATCTCCATCATGTGATGTGGAGTTTTCTAGGACTGATGTTACTCAACAGTCAACCACACGATGGTCATAATCTTATACCGCGTCTTTTTTCGCCTAGCAGAAGGTGAGGGCAGCATCATCAACAGATCCTAGGATGTTGCACAGATGTAACAATACATCTGACCATTGGTTTAAAGCAGGGGTGGGGAACCTTTTTCCTCTCAAGAGCCATTTCAATTTTTTCAAGATCGTCCGAGGGCCGTACAAATGATTGACCTCCTTTCTTTCATCCTGTGCAAAGAAAAAGCAACCTCTTCATCCAGATATCTTACCATGACTCGCGTATGCATGCACGTGCACGGTTGTGGCGTGACCACCACCAAAACAGAAAGATATGGACACAAGATGTGTGCTAATGTATTTAGTTTCCTATCCATGTGGACATGATTTAAGTGGGGGGGGGGGACCTAACCTCCTCTAGGGGGGTCCGGGGGCATGCTCCCCAGGAAGATTGTTTTTTAAATGTTGAAGTGAAAAGCATCAATCTGGTGCACTTTGAGAGCAACATTAGGAGATCTATGGATACATCTCTCAACACCCATATGAAACAGAACTGTGTTGTGTTCAAGGACCCTGACCTTGGCCAGGAAAAACAGGCACTCGCTTGTTTAATTCTTTTGCGGTCTAGATTAATTTCATTTTTTTTTTTTTTGCGTGTGTTTATAAATTACCTCGAGGGCCGCAAATGGTCTTGTGGGCCGTATACGCCCCGGAGGCCGGAGGTTCCCCACCCCTGGTTTAAAGCCACACAAGTATTTAGGCAGATTTGTTTTATTGTCCTCATAAACTTGGGATTTATTCTTTCACACACACATACGGGTATTGGGCCGAGCGCGACACCGTACTTCCGGTATCCGCCGTTTGACGCGAGGTGCAAGCATCCGTACACCGTCTAGGTGTTGCTAAGCTTCCTGTACTGAATATCATAGTCTATTGCCTTAATCAATATCTAGTCAACTCTAAAATACCACATATATGCAATGGCATGATAATATTATTGTGACAAGTGGGGTATTCACCTGGTGTTTCCAGAAGATAGACGTAGATGCTGCCAAAATTGACGAAGGCCACTGTCGTTTTTCCATGCATCTTCAGGCAGTCTGTAAGGGCAATCCGACAACCCACACAGCTCTAGTTTACGCTGGTAACGACCTAAAGCACACCCCTCAAGTCCAGAGATGTAATCCGAAGACATGCAGCGATTTCTTCGGTTGTTAATTCAGAAAAAAAACCTAGTGCGCTCTGCCTGGCTACGTTAGCCAGCTGTTTATATTAGCACCTCCAGGATATTAGCACCTCCAGGAAAATGGCGTATTTATATATATATATATATGGCGCATTGTGGGTAGTTCGTGACGTCACTGTGTGTGAAAGAATTTCCGATCTAACATTGCTAAATAGGAGCTTGCTTAGTGAATTGCTAATAGGGTTGAACATTATGGTTACCCGTTACAATAGAATATCCCTAAACAGCTCTTTATATTCCTTGTGATAATTAGTTTAGTTTATTTTTGGCTGGTTAAGAAGTTTTTTATCACCACCAACATTTTTATGTGTTTCCCCATTTTATACCAACATTATACATCCAGTAAATCCCAACGCTTCATCTGTTGTCGAAAAGCGTCCAACCAGCACTTTCAATGCTAAACCAGCAAAGCCCAGTCCGGCCCTCGCTGCCTTCAGGTTCACGAAACTCCCTGGCTGTTCTCTGTCATCCTACTCATTAAATGTGTATGCTCAGCAAAGCGATTGCTCGCACTAGACTTAAACATCTGAGTCTCTATGGAACCGTGACTGAGGTAGACATGTTTTGTCATTTTCATCAAGTGTGCATTTATTATTTTTCTCATCTCTTGAAGTACCCATCTGTGCTTCTGTACCAGGGCGCTCAAACACTGAGAGGTTTGAATGGAGAGTACAAGTGGTGTGTGTGTGTGTGTGTGTGTGTGTGTGTGTGTGTGTGTGTGTGTGTGTGTGTGTGTGTGTGTGTGTGTGTGTGTGTGTGTGTGTGTGTGTGTGTGTGTGTGTGTGTGTGTGTGTGTGTGTGTGTGTGTGTGTGTGTGTGTGTGTGTGTGTGTGTGTACAAATTGACAATAGACTTTCCAGGTGCTTTGCAGCTCCCAGTGCATGAGTAATTGAATTACAGGACATGTCCAAGTATAGAGTAGCACCTTAAGTAGCACGTATATTATGTATATAGTACACACACACACACACACACACACACACACACACACACACACACACACACACACACACACACACACACACACACACACACACACACACACACACACACACACACACACACACACACACACACACACCACACACCCTCACCTAGCAGTGCTGCACGTGTAAGCGCATGTCTTTACAAACTAGTGCATCATTATTGAAAGCTTACTGTAATTCATGTAGAATCCGTATTCCAGTGAATTGAAGAGACTCTAGAGTAGACTATACACATTTTCATATCAAATTTATTGCAAATATAGAAATAGATCTTTTGTACAGAAATCGCAAAGGGAAAAAAATGTCAATGTCAGCAACAAATAATTAAAGAAAGAAAAAAAGCCAAGAATGATCCCCATCATCCAAGCCTGTGCCTCTCCCTTTTGGTGTTTAAACATGAGTGTGTAGATCTGAAGCCAGAGGGGAGAGTCACATTAGATTTGGATGGAATATGATCATGGGACTTTTGATTTAATACAGTGACAGACAGTTTAAGCTCAAAAGACCAACTGCCACTGTCAACATGGCAAAAGCTCTGACACAAATGGGACATATATGGCAGAATATAGTAACTAAGATCGTATAATATTGATGCAAAGATTTGCTTTGGCCCTTGGGATCACACAGATAGTGGTTATACTTTAGCACTACAGTGATTATATTAGACGTTTGTGGTACTTTTCTAAGGGGCTATCATAGCTTGAAATCCCTCTACTCCTGTATGTGTTTGTAAAAGGGATGCATCTAAATTATTTTGTAAAGGGAATAGAGTCTGAGAGATGTCAGTAAAATGAATGTAAAATGTGTCACTACAGCAGAGAAATTGTAATGGTTCAACTTCTAAAAACACGCAGTTTATTATTAATATTGTAACTTGCACAAATGTGTCCTGAAGCGGTAGTTTGTCAGATTGTGCAGTGAAGTGTGAAATTGCATCCCTAAACTCAAAGGAATTAGAGCTCAGTAGAAGTCAAATCACTGAATGCTGACTGAGCAGGTTTTGAAAGCCCTAAACGTGACTGAGTAATAGTTTAATTTGGGTTTATTGCTCGGCATTATGCCTATCTTAAAAGTACACAGTTCTGCATCATGTGTAAATAAACCTTAATACGTTTGTTGCTGCAAGGCCAAGACAATATTAGCTCTGGAACCGATCAATGCACAGACATTTAATTTCCTCAATGAGTCAAGGAAGGCCCCGCTCCCCTGCACCCTTGACAGCCATTTTTCGGAAGCCGCTGAGTTTTCAATCTCTGGCTCTGACAAGGCCCATCATTCTGACTTTGTGACTGCCACAGCACTGGATTGTGTGTTCGGAATAGCAATGGATTCCCTGCCTCTGCTGTCTGTGAGCGCAGAAAACACTAATGTTCATGAACTAATGATCAGAATGAACTGCTCTCACTGCAATGGGACCTTTTAGCCAGCTTCCCAACACTGGATCTGGCATTAGATTAATAGGAGCTATGGGTTACAGATTAGCCTCCAGTACCAATAAAACTGCCCTATCAGATAACAGCACAATTGTACCCAATTAAAACATGGCACTACAAACTGGGTTAATAATGTAATATAGCTTTGCCATGTTGACAAGCTGAGGAGAAAAGCCCTGAGGCCTCTTTAAGTTTTGGCAAAGGCTCCACCACAGGCTATACATCTCAGTTGAAGAGTCTTGTACTGTCACTGCAGAATGTAAACATGGATAGGATTTATGGCCTGCTTTTTCTGTACCGACTGTAATGCAATAACTAATCTGTCAGCAGAGGTGCTGTAGGTGTTACCAGCACACTATTGGATGGGTGCCAAATGAAACGTACTCACATCTCGGACTCCCTTAAAGCCACAACTCTGTCCAACAGGAACCATTTATACTTTGTTTGTTTCACTCTGTGTTTATATTATCGTGTCTATAAAGACTTCAGTTATGAACGTAACATGTATTATAAGTTTCCATATCTGTGCAGGTGTCTATTTTTGTTGAATCAAGTTGAGAAAGTCTTTTCCGTGCACGCAAAAGGCTTTTCAGCAGTTTAAAGTCTTATAAAAATGATAAATAAGTGATTTACAACAGACGATGTTAGATGAATTTGATCAACTACTTGGCTAGAAAACCAGCAGGCTGTGAGAGGAGAGGATGGGAATGAAAGTCTGTGATTTAGCTAACAGTGAGTGGGCTGCGTCTGAGGGAGAAGCTGCTGATGCTGCATTGATTTAAGAGTGACGTCTAACTGATGGATTTGGATTAGGTTCATACCATTAAACAATACCTGCTGTGTGTGTGTCTACACCGATGACTCTTCTTTGAACCTATACTTTCATGTGGTATGTCTCTAATTGTAAAAAAAGTTGTTATTTTTTTTCTTTCTATAAAGCAGGCCGCTTAGATAAAGAGAAAATCCAACTACAAACTGTGACAGGGCCTCGCCTCGGGCCAAAGAAGATAGCATTGCATGTCTGCCATGGAGAATAATCGTTGTAATGGAGAAGAACAGAATGCAGTTTCTCAGAACAGATGGATGTGAACACCCACAAGCCTCAGACATTTTTACCCCCTTTGCACTGCACTCGCCACCAGCCTGTGGCTCAAATATTATGGTAGCTGAAGTGTCAGTATATTATACAATCACCCAAATGAAAAACCAATAGGTTAGAATGTAAATAGAAAACGTCACAGAGAATAAAAAACGGCTTAAAACCTAAATGTTCAAATCAAAGGTACTTGACAATATTGTTTTTTAGCCCCTATAGTTTCTGTTTTTCAATGTACGTCCACTCAATAATATATTTTTCTCTCAAAAAATACAGGGAATCATGCAAATATAACAACTTTTCTTTTATGTAGTACACTATGTTAAGCTTTCTCTGTTCATAAACCTTTAACATATATCATTGCAAGTACTAAAAGTCAATCCCTTGGTTCCCAATAACCAACCGCCCCACCCGCAAAAAGAAAAACCCTAACAAAGTAAACAAAGACAAATAGCCAACTGAAAAAAGAGAAACACACGGACATATCAAGAGATCAGGCCGAGTATAAAACATCCATAGAAGCATTTTTTAACCGTAGCATTTTTTTTCTTTTATATAGTGTACAAAATTCACAGATATTTCACAGATTCTTTAAGTCTTTTGTCCGTCTTTGGAAACTAAACATTGCAGTTAATGCATACATGTAAATAAACGTGTCTGTGTACTAATCAGGTGGCAAACAATAGCCTATTTTGTCTTTCTTCCAGGATTTGCAACTGCTCTTCTGCTAAAAGAAATACGTTATTTAGAATCACCAGAGCTTTCTCAACCTTAAAAATGACAGGTATAGCTTTAATCGTTTTTCCAGCATGCTTCTTCAAGATGTTAAAACATGAACGGGTTGGACATGAGTAGTATTTTAATGAAGACATCTAGTCGTTTGTGAATGCTTCCAACATAAAAATGTCAGGCTTCTCATTGTAGATTTAAAAACTGCTTGGCAGGTGTAAAGGCAGCGTTGGCAGTGTTAAGCCAGTCAGAGCTGCCTCATTAAAGAATGACCAACAAAGCAGTCACGCCAAGACATATTTCATTTGTCTCAAATTACTTCCTTTCATCGTATTTTAGATGAATACAGTTTTGCATTAAAGCAACATTTTAGAAAATGCGTTTAACATTTTCATCACATCTTATTATGCCTTCTGTAGCTTTCATGAAAGATCAACGGTGTTTTCATGAAATGTTTTAGAATATCCACGAAGGCAATCTCCCGCACAGTAATATATTAAACTTAATAGACCATTAGATAAAAGGTCTGAAGATACCAAATTAAATGATTTTCAACCTATTCTCAGTAGATATACCTGTCTGTCACCTGCCATGAAATTAAGTGGAAATGAAGCTGGCTTAAAAAAAAATGAGGGATGCTTTCAGTTTTCAGAAGTGCTGAAGTTTTTGAATATCTTTTAAGACCGGTCCCCACAGTATTCTTTGTTAAGTGTGTGACTCGATCCTTCTGTGTGTGTGTGTGTGTGTGTGTGTGTGTGTGTGTGTGTGTGTGTGTGTGTGTGTGTGTGTGTGTGTGTGTGTGTGTGTGTGTGTGTGTGTGTGTGTGTTTCATGAATCATCCCCCTGAATCATGCACGGTTAGTCTTAGTGTAGCCTTTATCCCAGATGTCTGCGTGCATTAAGCCAAAATCCCCTTCCCATTGCTATCGTCTCTTTGAAGACCTTGCCCATTACCTGCCTTTCAGGAAAATAGTCATTTTTGGTTTAGTCAGACTGTGACTCATTCTGGCTCACTTTTGTATTTTCCATGTTTGACGACTACTCTTGCCGTGTGTGTGTGTGTGTGTGTGTGTGAGTGTGTGTGTTTGTTGTGGAGGGAAACAGGTTTAAAAACACTCTCATTGGTCACATAATAAACCACATGTAGAAAATAGGTTTGCTGTTGGTGTGATAGTGTCAACATCGGTTATTCAACATGTTATAATTAAAGAATTACTTAACATTGTGCAATGTTTTTCTCATATGCTGGATCTTGATTGTCTAATCCACTTTCCTCTTGGTTACATAATAGAATATATTACTTCTGTGGTTTAGAAATAAGAATAATATGCAAGTTTGTATACTTGCCTCCTTGTAAGAAGATGATCAAGTAAATCATTACAAATTACATCCAAATGATGATTATCACTCGTAAAAGCAAAGTCTCACTTTGATTGAGATTGCTTAAATGACGCATGACATGGATGAAAAGTGATGTGTAACATGGGAGGACGGAACACTTTTACTCTGGTCTTTACTAATGAAAGCATTTAGCAACTCAGAAACTGATTAGACATAAGCTCACACCCCATTTTGGGCTGTAATTCATTATTTATACAACTACATTTTAGTTGAATCAGGCCAGACTGGTTAAAAGATAGCATCAAAGAAATACAATTAGAAACCATCTGTGATTTCTTGTGGTAAAGACAGATAGGGGAAGCAACCACAGAAAGGATGAAACATTAATAGCACATTAGAGGGCTTTCTCACGTCTAGCTTTCCTGTGGCTGTGAGACAAACAACAAGGACGGTGCTACAAAAAGGACCATTGATCACTGAGCGAGCCTCCCTCCAGGGGTTCAACGAGGATATGAGCAGCATGGGAAGGAAGAGAAGGCTTTTTTTGTTTGATGCTGGCTTTGTGGCACACAAACAGGTAGAAGGACATGGCTAATGCTTTGAGAAATATCACCGGTCCTGTTTGTAATTTGATAATTCAGATGGTAAGTTAATCAAACACGGATGTTATCTGTTTTATCTAAAGCTGTCCCGTGCAGTGACAATTGAAAATATAATTACATTTGGATTCTCTATGATTATCTTGTGGTCATTTTGGCAGAAGGCTTTCAAGTGATTATCAAGGTTGAGAAACACAATATCCTCTAAAACAATTGCACTAATTTGAGCTATTGTGAAACGGTGTTCATTAAATCATTGGCACTTCTCCCTCTAGCGCGTTCCTTGTTGGGCTGGTAATGCTGTGTCATAATACAAATCTGTTCTAACAAATCTGTGAATAACATTTGAGCAGAAGAGCAGTTGCACATACATTCGTACCCCCTGAAAATCAGTTTCCTTTGCAAATATGTGTGTGTTAAATATATTAATTAAAATAGAAAATGTATTAAATAAAAAAATCCTCCATAAAAACAGTAATATCCAGGATTTTCTGTCAAATAGATCATGTCAGATTGATGAACATTAATGGCAGCTGTAATGATGAGCAATCCTGATATGACTGAACATTTCTAAATTTGCTGTAACGCTTATCCTCAGTGTCCATGTCTGTAAACGTATTATGGCAGTTGAGGATCTGGGAACTAATTTTCTTCAGTGGGATTGAGAACTCCAAAGAAAATCCTTTCTTCTGATTCGTCTGAGTCAATCACAGTAAAACAAGCTCCTTTGGAAACGTTCTTATCTCAGGTAATTGGAGACGAGTGGGAGACATTTCCAAGACTGTCTGTTCATCACATGGTGCTTTATCATAAAAAGAAGGCGGATAAGGTGGTGCATCCCAGAAATGCAATTTTTAAAAGGTGACCATGAGGCTCTTGAATCCATCAATTGTAAACACTCACATCAGAACACTGACTCCAAGGGGCGATGACCTCTGACCCTGACGGTATGCACACATCTTTATAAGACAAGGAAAAGGAGACAGAGATAGATTCATGAAATCAAAGAGAGAGGGAGAAAAACACAGATCAATATGGGGGGGGGGGGGTCATTACACACCACCCTTCAATTTTTGCATACTCAGTCCTGTTCAACCTGGATTCAAGTGCATGCTAAACAAATCAACACATTTAAAAAAGAGGAAAAGCATTGTTGATACGTGTTGAACAGACCCTCATCCTATTACCTTTGCCTGTAAAGAAGGGCAATTTCTTACTGTTACTATTTGATAAAACACAACAGGAAGTGTCTCATGCTGAACCATCGGAACTATGGGAGCAGGGAAGGTAGTGGGAGATGGATCAAAACACACCATCCACAGAAAAGGAGTGAGATAAACGATGTTGAATAAAGCCCTGAACAAAAATGTGGAGCAAGGACCTCTGATTCAGTTTTTCACATTTTTCGGGTATGATCTCAGATTGTGTATGTCAGCAGTTGAAGCAAAAATCTAAAGGCTACACAGCGCTTTGAGAAAGCAGGATGCCTTTTGCCAGAATGCCTGGCAATAACACTATCATGAGGAAAATCACAAGTCCATGGTTTTATAGAAAAGGCCAGATGGGTGGATAATACTATACAAGAATGGAGATTAGATTATGGCTGTGTTAGCAAGAGGCACTGCACTACTGTGGTATGTATGTCTGAGCATTAATGGACAATTATATTAACATTGTTGAGATTTATACATTTGTCCATGCCTTTAATAATCTAGTATTGTTTAGACTCAAACAACCAGCCAATAGGCAATATATGACAACTATTAATTTAGGTAAATTTGGGCACATACAATATATTCTGACAAGGCATGCCAATACCCACTTACACTAACCACTGTGTACCACACAGCCACACACACACACACAATCAGGAGGCGTAAAGTGCGAGCGAGCATGCCTGTCACATGTTGGCTGATTAAGTTATCAATAGACGACAATAGCATTGATTTCGAGAAAAGAACAGACATGTTGGCAGTAATTAGAAGTGTCCTTTCCCTCTGTGCCTCATCCTGTTTTTAATGTTAGGGAAAGGATTTGGAATGTACTCCAGTGCTTACATCAAATGGTGCAAATAGATTTCCCCCCTAACCTGCTTGTAATCTACTTACATTCACAGTGGCTGCAGAAAAAAAATATTGATATCCTTGCTTTTCCTTCCTTTGTTCTCTTAAACCCTCGCTTTCAATTTCTCCTGTTCCATTGTCACGTATATTACATGTTTGCTATGGGGATTGTGTGAGCTCATCCGTCACATGGTTACATCTTTCTATTGTACAGGTAAGTAGCATTTAAATATATGATATATGATTTTGCTTAATGTTCTTCAAATCACGCTCTGTATCATTACATGGGCAAATGCTGCTTAGAACAAATAAGGACATTTGCAGGACAACATTCTTTACACCACTCATTGAACCATGCGTGTTGGAAAGATGAAAGGTACCACTTTAATCTCTTTCTCCCTCATGTTTTCTTTATGATGCAGGACCTTAAAGCCCTCTTGACTGCTTTCTCGCTCTTCTTTTGTTGATTTCTTTCCCTTCTCTCCTTTCTTTCTGTGTGACAGACGCTATTGACATGCAAATACCTCATCCGCATGAAAAGAGATAGGGTCTGCATCTGTGTTCACTAAACGGCATGCTGTCACTTGACAACAGAGCACAGATCCCACCATCCATAGTCTCCCTTTGCCTCGAAGTCTAAACATATCCAAGGGCAAATTGACACAGCACCCAAAACCAAATAGGAAACAACATCTTGGATCACAACAGCTTATAATGAAGGATATCAGCATTTACCTTCTGTGATTATCCATAGATGGAAATGTGGCACTGATAAAGACGGTCCATCTGATCACTGAAAAGTACAGTTTTACACAGTTGGAAATACTTTCTGTGCAATAAATAAAACCCACAAACACTAAATGAGAATGATCCAGAAATAGTGCTACAACAAAGTGTAAAATAAAACACCATAATGATTCTCGAATCCCAGGCACAGTTTCACAGTCCTTGCTTTAGCACAATATTCTATACACCTAGCATGCCAAAAAACATAACAAAGGCGACGTTTTGTCCTCAATGTTCTCTACATTATCCTCATATCCTTTCTCTAGCCCACAGGCATGGAAGGAAATTATCCAAACTATTTTTCCCACAATGCCTATCTCTGGTCCCAAAGTCACAACTTCTGCTGTGCGGACACCCCTTTCCAGTAATCAAGGATGTCATGCAGGTCCTCGCCTTTAGCGAACTGCACCTTTTTTCTAAGGGCGTTTCCGGCCGTCACATAACAGGCCTCATCGCGCTGGCCTTTCCGGTAAGGACGAAAACGCTCCCAAATCCGCAGTGAGCTCTCTGAGGAGTACTCTGGGCTGGAGGAGTAGCCGGAATAACTGGAATTGTGGCGGGCAGGCGAAAGCTGGGAGTAAGATGCTGCATCCCTGCGGGAGCGCGTCAGGGGCTTTAGGAAGGAAACCCTCTGGGCTGGGGAGCCTTGGTGGGAGCCTTCATAATACAGAGCTGGGACGGAGTGGCGGTGCTCCGAGCAGTGGTAGTCCTGCTGCACCTCCAGCTGCTGCTGCTGCTGCTGCTGTTGTTGGTGTATTTTCTGTTGTTGATGGTAATGGTTTTGCTTCTGGTTGTCCTGATGTTGGGCACCAACACCACCACTGTCACAACCACCACCACCCCCTCCAGCGCAGCTCCCACTCCCCACTAAGGGCAGCCTTTCAAGGGGCTCCCCACAGCCCACGGGACTGGCTCTGTCTTGGTACTGCGGCTGTTTACAGCCATCTGGGCTCCGAGGCTCAGAAACTTCCAGGCTATACACCCTAGCTCCTCCACGTTCCCTGTCCCGACCCATGGACCCACAAGAGGTGGTGCTGGACTGTTTCTTGACTGAATTTGCTATAATCACAGCTGCATCTGCACTCATTTGCCGCTGGATGGGACGTACAGCAGAGGCTGGTGGAGGAGGCCTGTAGGGGGGACTGACGACGAAGCCACCACCACTGATCCCTGGGCGCTCACAGAGAGGGGCATTCAAGGCAGGGAGTGGAGGTGGAGGGGGTATTTTGGTGGGAGCACTGACTTGGCACGAATCTGACAACCCTTGGGAGAGTGGGATTAGGCCACGAGTCAGAGAGGACGTGCTGGTGGGGGGAGGGGAGGTGGGATTGGAGCAGGCTGTAGGGTTATTAGAGACCCCTGAAGCAGCGACTGCTGCCGCATCCAGCTTCAGTGCATCAATGCAGTTGTTTATGATCTGGTTAACCTTGTCCACCTCCATGGCAATAGTGGAAATCTCAGATGCAGAGCCACGTCCGTCATCATCTGAGTCATCTGCTATATCAGTTCCATCATCGTCCCTCATGTCCATCCCTACATGACCACCATCTCCCAATCGCTCCATCCCGGCCCCACCAGTTCTGACATCCATATAGTTTCCTTTACTTGTAGCAAGGGCCTCTGAAAAGGCAGTAGCCATCTTTTCCACTTGTGGGATGGAGGAAAGCCTGGAGGAACTGGTGTTTGCTGAGTGGAGCATTCCCGAGCTAGAGGATTGGGACATGGGAAGTTTGCCTCCATGGTGGTGCTGATACTGGTGATGTTCTCTGGACTGCTCCTGAAGCTTGTGGACTGCCATTGGATCATTTGCCACTGCTGCTGCCACTTCTGGTCCATAGCGCATTTCTAGTATAGTTTTCTTGACACAGATGGACTTCCTCTTGTCGTCATGCCTCCGTTTCTTACGAAGACAATAGTAGACTAAGCCTAAAATAATGAGCATGCCAAAAAGGCAGCCCACAATGGTCATGATGTAGTGAGTAGTGGTGGAAGGTGTGGGGAGCAGGTCATCTTGATTTTGAGCCCGAGTGGCAAACTGGAGGCAGGTGTGGTTGTAACGTTGAGAGTTTCGTATGGATGCTACACAGAAGGTATAATTGGTGTGTGGCTTGAGCTTGTCGAGGGTAATCTTCTCCTTCTTGTTCTTCAAATTCATAACGTCAGACACATATGTGTGGTTGTATTGTGTAAGAATATACATTTTGCTGTAGGGCCTTGGAATCTGTACAAGGAGAGAGGCTGACGACAAAGAGACATGATGAAGCTTGATACTGGGACTGTTTTCATTGGAAGAGGGGGTGGGCTGATGGTTTGGCCCAATAGCCCCAAACATCTCTGGTCCGATCCCGGAAGGACCATCCAGATCTGGTGGGAGTGAAGTCATCCCTGGAATCATCACTCCATCTCTGCAGTGATGGTACAAAATGTTTTTAGCATTTCGACCAGCATGGCCAGCGGCGATGAGTAAGGGGTAGCCAAACATTTCCCGGGGCGTCTCACACTGGAGGCGGTCGTAGGTGTGTGTTACATTGTTGAAGGACTCCAACCAGGTGAGGAAGCTGTAGAGCTCACAGCCACAGTGGAATGGGTTTGCTGCCAGTTCACACACCATGAGTCGATTGAGAACCGTGAACGTAGATGGGTCAATGCGGCCAAGTCTGTTGGAAGACAGGTCAATGCTGCTGAGGCTAGGGCACTCCCAGAACGCATTGCTGTCAATAACTTCAATGAGGTTGTGCTGGAGGAAGAGGCATTGCATCCGTCCGAGTCCTCTCATCATACCCTCAGTTAAGTTGGTAATCTTGTTGTAACCGAGCTGGAGAACCTGAGAAAAAACACAAAGGAGCATTTGATAATTTAATTCCTTTTTAGAGTTTTGACATTTCTTCAACATAAGCACGTATACATATGGGGAAATGGGCTTACGTTGACAACCCATTTGATTGTCTAACTGTGTCCGGTTGACTATTTAAGCAAGTAATGTTTCATTTGTTAAGTTGTTGTGCCAATCATTGAGGTTGTGTACTTTAACTAGGAGATCTGGAGAACTTATAAGTATAAAGCATTAGTACACTCAACCCTATGTCTGAGTGGTTAGTTTAATTATGTCGGCAACTCAAGTTATTGAGGAACATACTCCTCAATAATCTTGGTCTCCCTCTTATGCATTTTCATGCGTTCAGCTAAAATATCATTACAATTAATTCAGTTTCATAATTAATGAGAACAATTCACTGAAATGTAGTTATGGAAGTAATTATTTACAATAAATCGAATCAAGCTCAAGCTGTTAGCTGTCGTAAAGTGAAAGTCCTAGACTCAATCTAAGGTGTAATGCATTGTGTACTATATTATAGTGTTCAGCTCAAAGCTTTTATCATTCATTCCTCCTTCACCTGTAGGTTGGCTTGTCCTGCAAAGGCTCCATCCTCGATATGGCTGATTTCATTCTTGGTGAGGTTGAGGTCAGTCAGGTTGGTGAAGCGAAACATAGAGGTGAAGAGCACAGCTTTCAACTTGTTCTCATTCAATCTCAAGTCATGGACAGTGTTGTTGATGTGCTGGGGGATTGTCTCGTACGGCGGCTGGTTCTGACTGCAGATAGCAAGCCACACATAGCCTTTGTCCCCCTCAATGAGCCAGCAGTCTCCATTGACCATGTGGGGAAAGTGGGAGAAGAGGAGGAGGGAGGGGAGAATAAGAAAAAGAAGAGTGGAGGTGGTGAAAGCACCCTGCATGATGCCGGTGAAAAGAAATCAAAGATGGGAAGCTAGAATATATAGGAGAAAATGTTGGGGCAGGCAGGAAAGGAGGTTGTTTTGTTGGAGAAAGGGAAGCAACAATGGTTGCTCGGAAAGGATTTCCAAAAATGAAAAGGGTCTGGGCTGGTTGCTGAAAAAGGGGTGAAGGCTTCACAATGCCAGTCACAGCTGTATGGTCATCTTGGTGATTAGCAGGGGATCCATGTTATGTCATATCTTGTTGGGCTGCAATGTGGGGTGACACAGCTTGTCTTCATAGTCTCTCCTTCAGCTTCAGCTGTGACTCACGCAAGTGGATGGAACCTTGGAATAGTGGAGAATCTAGAAAGGGAATAAAAAAAGAAATATGAGAAGAAAGTAAAAGCAAGGCAAGGCAAGTTTATTTATATAGCACCTTTCAACACAAGGCAATTCAAGGTGCTTTACAAAAATGAAAGACATTCAGACAAAGGCATTTAAAAACAGTCATTAAAAAGAACAGATAATAAAAGAAACATTAAAAGAAAAAATACATGAATAAAAAAGTTACAGTGCAGTTTAAGATATGAATAGTTCACACAGAAGTTCCACTTTACTGATGCCTTTCTTTAAGGTTTCTCCGAACATGAGCTGTGTACGCTTGTATAGCACATACTTCCCCCGAGCAGCATACGCAGAGAAAACCAGCCAGGACAGAGTCCCAAGACACTGATCCCCTGGGGTTACTATAGCCCCAAATGTTCATTAACCAAAAACGAAACACAACCGCTCAGTTTCAAATAAAAGCAGCGGCAAAAAGAAAAGTCTTCAGCCTGGATTTAAAAGTAGTAAAGCAAGACATGTCTATTACCTCCTATTTTTGTTATTTGTATTGCAGTGTTTTACATATATGATATTAATGGCACTTTTGTACTGAAGAATGAATAAATAAACACAGTTGAATCATGAATCAAAATAAATGCTAAATTAATTCAGACCACACCAAATTCATTTAACATTTCATTTTCTCAGGATGGACCCCATTTATGGAACCTGCAGGCGTCCACAAATTAATCTCAATTTTCTTCGGGGCTTGTTCCACTCTTTTTTCCATCAGCTGGTGTTCATTCTCATCATGTTCATATTTCACACGCTGCATTGCCCCAACAGCTCCCCTTTTAGCATTGGTCATCCCCCCTTGATAATGCTATGAGGTCATCTAGCTTGAGCCAATACCTACATGCACGCACTTGCCAATCCTCCTCAGTCCTCAGGGGAGGATATCTTTTTTTAAACACAAAGTGCAGCAATAATCACCCAAATTCTGAAAACACATTATCACACACATTCCTTGTTAATTCACCATCCTGCCAAACGTAAGCTCTCTAACCCATCTGCATGTCATCTGAATAGCAGTCAAGCGTTTACATAAGGAGAGGATTAGCTGCCTGTTGCATCATGGCAGACATTGTCCTCTTGCCGGCTCGTAGCTGGGTAGACACACAATTACACCCACATTACACACATGGAATCTAAAATGCACACATGGTTCTCAAACATACATGTGCATGTGTAAACGTATGAACTCAAACTCATGCATGTTCTCAAGAGTATTTTTCTAGGCTCAGGGGAACTTGTACAGACATTGAATGCTAAGAGGATGGTTTTTAACCAACACACTGATGGAAAGCTGACTATAATTGTACAAAAGGTTCACCTAATGTGAAGACTCATGATGGTTGAAAGCTTGTTTAGGCAGTTAAGTTGTATGTCCTTGACCTCAAGTAAGTGATGTGTTTGTTAACAAACAGTACAGTGAAGTAATAGGTTTACCAGCAGTGTATATAATTAGTAGTAAGTGTAGTGGCAGCCTTTATCTGTGTAACAGTAGCTGTACTTATAATTGTGGTTTAGTTAATGCTGATGTTTGTATCTTTCCAAACCCCACACACACACACACACACACACACACACACACACACACACACACACACACACACACACACACACACACACACACACACACACACACCACAACACACACACACACACACACACACACACACACACACACACACACACACACACAACACACACACACACACACACACACACACACACACACACACACACACACACACACACACAACACACACACTAGACACTCCATATTGTTGTTTACGTTCCAAACTAGTAAGAGCTTCTTTCAATTCATATTAAACGTTTTGTTATCTACTACGATTCATATATGTATGTCATCCCATCTCTCCTTTGTTTGACAGTCGCTCGATTCCCATCAATATTCCATGAAACAACAAATTAAAAACTCTCTCTCTCTCTCTCTCCCTCTCTCTGAGAGGAACAGGCCACTTTTCTCCCTCGTGCTCCAAATTCAAACTGAGAATTGAGCTCATTCCAGGCTATTCCGGTTCACGCTCCCGAGAGGTGTCAGGAGAGAATCAGGTCCATCCTCTTTTTTTAATCCACTTATTACAGAAGATTGTGCCGCCTAACCCACATGGAAGGAATATATATGAACCTATATATATTTAATATATGTCACATATATGTTTAACATATATGTGACATATCTGAAATTGGACCCCTACATATATATCCATATATGCACATATATGCACACACATATATGTACATATATGGGTGCAGTGTATATGCATATATAGGTTTCACATATATGCACATCAATCAATCAATCAATGTTTATTTATATAGCCCAATATCACAAATGTTACATTTGTCTCAGTGGACTTTACAGTTTGTACAAAATATCAGTATGACAATATAGGACATCAACTTATAGGCTAATAGACATATAGGCTTATAGACATATAGGCTAAACTCATATGCACATATAGGTTGCACATATATGCACATATAGGTTTCACATATATGCACATATAGGTTGCACATACAGTATATGCACATATAGGTTTCACATATATGCACATATAGGCTAAACTTATATGCACATATAGGTTGAACATACAGTAAATGCACATATAGGTTTCACATATATGCACATATAGGCTAAACTTATATGCACATATAGGTTTCACATATATTCACATATAGGTTGCACATACAGTATATGCACATATAGGTTTAACATATATGTGCATATAAGTTTCACATATATGCAAATGTATCGCACATTTTTGATCTGTTCTAAATGTACCTTAGAGGAATATTTTTAATACTCTTATCAACATATGAGTGGACAAATATGCTTTATGCTAATGTTTATTATCATTTGAACATTACAAATATTCGCCTCAATTCAACCTGGAACCTCTCTCATACAATAATACAATACAAATGGTGTGTGTGTGTGTGTGTGTGTGTGTGTGTGTGTGTGTGTGTGTGTGTGTGTGTGTGTGTGTGTGTGTGTGTGTGTGTGTGTGTGTGTGTGTGTGTGTGTGTGATGGATCGTTGGAGCTATGTGCAACTCAAGGCATATGCTCGACCGGGAGCTGCCTGGACGCTGCAATCATGTTGCGCACTATCCGTGCTGAGTGTGCTGACTTTTCGTACAATGTCCCACTGTCTGGCTTCCTGCATAAAGTCAAGTGCTCGGCGCAGTTATCGGCGAAATGTCGCTCCTCTGTTTTCATTTAAACAGCTCCTTATATCCGTTAGCGCAGCTAGCTAGCACCAGATGCTAACAACAACAATACACGTAAGGTCTCTCTCTCGCTCGCTCGGGCTGATTGATTGATTGATTGAAAAGTTTATTAACAGCTTGTATATTGGGTACAGTACAGTACAGCTCAAAACATACAATTGTTAAGGGGATGCAGACCAGAGAAAGACTTTCGTCTTGTTTACATCAGGGTCCCCCATTTCCAATTCATCACACATACACACACCCTCCCGGTCCTCCCAACAGCCAGTCGGTGCCTGCCGGTGAGCGTGGAAGTGTGGTCTGCCACAAGCGGGCGGCAGGAGCGGGGCTGTCAGCATCAGCTTCCATCCATCCATCCATCTTCTCCCGCTTATCCGTGGTCGGGTCGCGGGGGGTAGCAGTTCCAGCAGAGAGCCCCCAAACTTTCTTTTCCCTGGCGACATCAACCAGCTCTGACTGGGGGATCCCAAGGCGCTCCCAGGCCAGCGAAGAGATATAATCCCTCCACCTGGTCCTAGGTCTACCCCTTGGTCTCTTCCCAGCTGGACGTGCCTGGAACACCTCCCTAGGGAGGCGCCCAGGTGGCATCCTAACTAGGTGCCCGAACCACCTCAACTGGCTCCTTTCGACGCGAAGGAGGAGCGGCTCAACTCCGAGTCCCTCCCTGATGACCGAACTTCTCACCTTATCCCTAAGGGAGACACCAGCCACCCTGCGGAGAAAACCCATCTCGGCCGCTTGTATCCGCGATCTCGTTCTTTCGGTCATGACCCATCCTTCATGACCATAGGTGAGGGTAGGAACGAAAATGGCCCGGAAGACCGAGAGCTTTGCCTTCTGGCTCAGCTCCCTTTTCGTCACAACGGTGCGGTAAAGCGACTGCAGTACCGCTCCCGCTGCTCCGATTCTCCGGCCCATCTCACGCTCCATTGTTCCCTCACTCGAGAACAAGACCCCGAGATACTTGAACTCCTTCACTTGGGGTAAGGACTCAGCATCAGCTTGTAGATGGTATTTTAAACTCGATGCGCTCTGAAACTACGGGGCGGCCGAGGAAAAAAAATACACATGCGTTAATCGCGTTACAATAATTAGTGGCGTTAATTTTTTTTGCGTTAACGCGTTATTAACGTGTTAACTTGACAGCCCTAGTGTTTTAACAATAATGTACAATTATCAAATATTTAATAATTTACTAATCTTAAACTGATCAGCTGACGGCGAGCGGATATAAACATCCGGTTCCGGTCCTGGGTGAAATAACTAAATTAAAAATGTTGCTTCATACAATAAAACATACCGTAATCAAACAATATTGTCTTTATACATTGAATTGTCTTGGGCAATCCGCAAACCTCAAAAAAAAAAAAAAGAAAAAGAACATTTGGTTGTCAATGTGTTTGACAGATTGATAAAACAGGGGAGACAACGCTGCATCAAAATGCGGCTAATCTGGTCATCAGTAGAAAGCTAGGTGTGAATGACAGATGAATTGCGTCGATCAATGAAGCCACCCTCACCAGTGATATATTTGATTAAACACACATTTGTCCCTGAATGGGCTCAAAAGACCAATTTGTTGTAACAAGCATCCCATTTTGTTTTGGCTTAACAAATCGGAAAAGTATCAAATTGTTGTTCAATGTTGTTATCCATCAAAGGGCTCTTGTGACAGAGATACCATTACCTAAAATATCCCCAAAAATCTTTGCCCTTAACT